GTGTAATTTAATAATAAAAAAATCATAATAAAGAATAACTCTACAGAAATTGATGAAGAATACCTTAACACTCTCATCAATAAAATAAAAGAAATGAAAATAGAAAAATGTTCAAACATTAATTACTACTGGAAAAGAAAAGAAGCCGACCGATTAATAATGGAAATTAATAATAGATGGATATGGTCAGGAAGCAGAATGCAGGATCTGCAAGATGATATGAAGAGGATTTCAATGGTTATGCACCTCTATCTTCAAAATAAAATAATAAGAGATAAATTTGATGAAATAAAAGAAATATAAAGAAAATAAATAGAATAGAAGATTTAGTCAAGGAAATTGTACAGAATAAAGTGCATCATGAAATTAAAAGAATATGATGAAGAATGAATAAAAGTTAAAACACTAGAAAGAATAAAATACATAAAATATATGATGACAATGATTAAAGAAAGAATTAAATTTAATAAAGATGAAATAGTCAGAATCAATATAAATAAAATCATGTTTGATTCTAACAAGAAAATTATAATAATGAAGAAACAAATAATGAAATATACCCAAATAACGATATTACTTTAGAATATTGGAAATGTTATATGAAACACAGGTGAAATTAAATAAAGAGAATTTGAAAATAAAACAAATCACCATATTGAATGAAAGATATATCAATTATGATAATGTCATTATAACAATAAATGAATTAAATTTAAGTATAATGAGAATAAGTAACTGGAAAGCACCAATGAAACAATATAAAATTAATAAAATAAAAGACAAAGATAAAATATAATTAATAAATAAGAAGAATAAAAGTAATCTAATAAATGATATGAATAATGATTTATATCACAGTAAGAATGAAAATAAAAGAAGAAATGAAATGGTTATAAAGAAATAAAGAACATGCCAATGAAAACAGAGAAATTAAGAGATGTCAAAAGAAATTTAATAATAAATTGAAACAAACGAATAATAAATATAGAAAGCATTAAATTAAATAAAGAAATAAAAATTGACATTGACAATATAAAAGAAGTTAAAAATACTAACATTAAAAAAATGATGAATGTAATCAAGCATCAACTCAACCAAAACAAAATAGAAACTGTAGAATATGTAGATGATTATTCATGAATAGGAAAAATCTGGAATGAACCAAGAAGAATAGAAAGTAATTCTATTAATATCTAATTAATTGGATATTTTTATAAAAATAAATCTTTTTTGGAACTAATAAACTAAATTTTATAAAATGACTACTGAGATTACTGATACAATGAAATTATGTGAAGAATTAAAATCAATGACAAATGAAATGATTAACCAACTTAATAATGTAAAACAACAAATTGGAACTGATGAATTTCAAAATGGGAAAGATAATTTAATTTCAAAAATAGGAGAAATAGGTAACTTTGTAACAATGACAAATAAAAGGTTTGAGATTTCACTTTTAAAAAGAAAAGACTTATCAAAACAGTGATTATACCAATCCTGAAATTGAAGGGTTACAATCCATAATAATACTAACTCATTTATTATATGAAGTAGCTAAAACTTGGAGTAAAGAAAATAATGTTGAAGATGAATTAAATCTTAAAATATCATATTTACTACAACAAACTAAAAAACTTAATCAAATTGCAATTACTGAAGCTCCAAAAAAGAAAGTAGATATATTAAATGAAGTAGCAAAACAAATTGATCTTGGTGTAGGAAAGAATATTACCAAAGAATTAGAAAAGAAAGGAATAAAAGATGCTACAATAGACATTTCTGTTGCTGAAGCACGAATCAAGTTAGTTGAGTCTCGAAAAAAACAAGAAGAAGCACTAAAGGCAATAGAAAAAATTTATTCAATTTTAGAACCAATTAAAGAGCATTGGACAAAAGAAGATTTTGTTAAAGCATGTTTTGGTAATGTTGAACAAAAGAATTAATTTAATAAAGTTAATAAACTTCATTACAGTATAAGTTAAACAAGTTTTAATAAGAAAAAAAAAAATAGAAAATTAAAGAAAAAAAAAGGTCATTTAAAATTATTGCAAAATAATTGCTAATTTGTTTGGTTCAACCTTTGGACAAGCCCAATTATAAAGATAATATTTCAAATATCCATCACCAGGAACAAATAATAAATCAGCAAGATATTGTTGATTTTCTGAAATATTTAAACAATTAAAGACATCGCAATGGTTTTGAACGGCACAAATTAAAATATCTTTAAAGAATTGTTTAAAATCAACATCTTTGTCATAGAAGTAGTAATATTGATAAGCAATATATAACTCTGAATATTCATATGAATTAAGAATAGATGAGGGTAATATGTAAAATGCTCCAAATGCTTTTATAACTCCATTTTGTTCTAAAACATAACTTTTAATAATACCATCTCTACTAAGGAAAGTATGTGCTACCATTTCTTTACTAAATAATACTGTAAGGTCATAATGAGTATGTAAAAATCTATTAAGTTTTTCTGTGACAATATCAACATCTTTTTCTTCCATTTGTCTGAACCCAATAGAATTTGGTTGTTCTGGTAATTTATAAAGTTTTAATGCTCTTTGAAGTGTTAGTCTTTGATTACAGGTTGAGAACCCAATAGCATCTAATTTTTTTGGATTTAATGGACGATGGAAATATTGTGTAGTACAAACAACATTTGGTAATTCTGTTCCAGAAGTATAAACTGCTTGAAATAGTCCTGTTAAATGAACTTGACGAGTAACTTCTTTAATTAATTGTGGTGCTAATTTAAATTTTCTCATATCCTTTCTAACACACAAAAAGTTAATTTCTGCAACATCAACAATACGGTCATAAATTTTTATTGAACTTGGAACTCCTGTAATAAATCCTATTAGTTCATGACTATCTTTTTGTCTAATTCCTACAAACCAACTAGGATAATATCCTGGTACTTTTAAACACCATTTTATAAATTCTTTTTGATAATCAAATCTAAGTGTAGCGTCATCATCTTCAACATAATTTTCTTTTAATAATATATATACTTCTTCCATTTCTTTTTCATTATCAATATTAACAATACAATATTCCATATTTTCATTTGGTAATGGTGCTGGTACTTTTGGTACTTTTTCAATTGGAATATCTGGTTGAATTGGGTTATTATATTTTTGTGGTACAATAACACCTGTTCCTGTTACTGGTTCATATTTCCAAAATTTATGGTCATTATCAATATCTCCTATAGTCTTACCGTCTTCTTCTTTTTTAATTGCTTGTAAGAATTCACTTTTTTCTTCTTCCTTTACTAATTCTTTAGGTTTTAATTCAATAATTTTTTCTTCTTCTGTTTCTTCTTTCTTTGTTATCTTCTTACTCTTTTTTGTTGTTTTCTTTCCTTTTCCTTGTTGATGTGGCATTTCACTTACTAATTTTCTACTTTATTTATAGTTCTTTCATTTATTTATTATATTTTTACTATTATTTTATTATATTAATTTTAATATATTGGTTTTTCTTTTTTTTTTATTTTCTTCTATTTTTCTTCTATTTTCCAACAATTTAATCATTATTGTTTAATCTTGCTCAAAAATTAACTATATCAACATACAAACAATTTCCTATCTCAACCCTATTTCTCATTTCAGTATTTGTCTTTTTTTGTTACAACACTATCAATCAGATAATGTCTAATCATTTTTTAATTTTGTCATTCCTCAAATCTACTTCTTAACAAATTAACGTTTTAAAACAGAACAATAATTAAAAATTACTAAATTAACTTTCAGTAGATATTGTTTCTTCTATTTCATTTTATTTATTTGAAATTATTTCATTCACTCTATTTCATGTCTTATTCATGAAGTGTTTCTATGTTCACCACATTATTTCATTAATTTTTCATTGTTATTATTCATTATTTTATTATTTCCAACGCAATTATAATGTTTTGTTTTTCAACATTCTTACCAATTCTATATTGAATATTCAAGTTATTGTAATTATTATTGTAATTACTTTTATTTTATTCTATTAATTTGTCTTAATTTATTTTTGTGAATTTTGTCTATTTCTATTTTATTAATAAATACTAGTTTTATATTTTCAAAATTTACATTTACAATTATCATATCATTTATTATTCTTGTTTGTTTTATCTTCTATATAAAATATCTTGTCTTTTATTAAATAGTCACTTTTATTGATTATTTCATAATTCAATTCATGAATTATTTTCTATTTTCTATTCTTTATTTGTTTTTGTTATTTTCATTGTTAATTAATTTCATTTTATTCTCATGTTTTATTCTTCATTTCTTTATTATATTTATTCTTTATTTTTAATTTAGTTATTCTCTTCATTTATTCATTTATTATTTCATATTTAATTTGTATTTTCTTATTTACAATATAATTTATTATTATATCTTCATTTCTGGTTATTTTATATTTACAAATAATATATAATTTCATTTATTATTTGATGTAATTATTAATTTGTTAATTCATATAAATATACCATTTTTCTTTCTTTAATTTCATTGTTTATATTCATTTCTCTTTATATTAATACTCTTCATTATTTTATTTATCATATTCTTATCATTGTAGTTTATTAATTAGTTGTTCAATCATTTTCAATTTCATTTATTAATATATTTCATTCTGTTTATTACTTTATTATTTTG